ATTTGATCCTAATTTTGAAAAATTTTCCCAATAATATAAATGGCAAAAAAAACATATACCTATTAGACAGATTTAATTCTTATAAACCCCTATATCACACCTATTTTTCTGGATCCAAGGAAAAATAAATTATTCTGAGTTTTCCTGGGTTTGGGAAATATTTTTCACAATTAATATGGGCTTGGAAGTAGCTTGGGAAACATTTTTTAAAATTAATATAGTGTTAGATTCCTGAAAATTTTTTAATTTTAAATATGGGTTAGAAATTGGCTTGAAAATTTCTTTTGGAGGCCAGGCCTGATCAAAAACCAAGGCCCATGCAACTTTCATATTCTGATTGTATTTTTAAATGCATTGTGACTTTTTATATATTTTATTTTAGTTCTCAACTATCAAAATTATTAAGGTCTTTTTGAGAAAATTTTCACAAGTGAAGGACCTGGCTTGTGAATTTTTTTAATATTAGGCATAGGTGTAATATTTAACACAGAATATTTATATGGCCCTCAGGTAAAAGCTAATTTAAATATATTTTTATTCAAAAATAATATTCATTCTTAGTCTTAATGGGTTGGCCTTTGTCTGAAGTAGGGGTATATAAAATAGACATGGTTTTTAGAGATTTACCTATCTCCAGGCTTGGAAAAAAATTTAAATTACTATCGGTTGGTTAGGTTTGAGAAAATTCTTGAATAAGATTATTATGGGTTGGGCTGGGTTTGGGAAATATTTTTATAAATTATATTAGGCTGGGATTGGGGAAAATTTTTCAAAAATATTATGAGCTAGAATGCTTGAGAATTTTTTTATAATTAACTATGAGTCAGACATTGGCCTAAAAAAAATTTTATGCAGGCCTGGGCTCGGCCTGATCAAAAAACCTAGGCCCATGAATATCTGATTTTGATTGTATTTTTAACATTATGATTATTTAAATATTTTATTTCAGTTCTCAACTACCAAAATTATTATATTCACTGGGCTTGGAAGAATTTTTCAAAATTATTATGGCTTTGTACTTTGCCTGGGAATTTTTTTTAATAATAAATATTAGGTAAGTAATCAGTAATATTTATCAAATAATATTGGTATTATCAAGTAAAAGCTTTAAATTTAATTTTACCAAACCATAGTATTTACACTTAGTTTTAATGGATTAAACATGGCATGAAGGCGGGGGGGGGGGGATTAAAAGAATAATAATTGGATATTATTTTCAAATAAGAGGTAACAACTATCATAAAAGTAAGAAGAAAATTCTCATTCCCAGTTATTTTTGACGGGCTATCTTATAGTTTAAAAATAATATAATAATTATAATTTATTATTTAATTTTGAAATTGAAATTTATATTTTAAATTGATAATTTATATTTTGAATTTGTATTCTAAACCTAAATCATCTGGTGTAAATTATTTAATATCATCAGTATCACAAATGGATATCCAAATCGATGTAAGTGAGTCAGACAATTTTAATATTAATGAAATGGAAGGTGTCCTGAAAGAAAATGTTCTTGATAACAATAATACAAATTTTCCATTTCCAAATGAAAAATATTTCAAATTAATGTAAAAACAAAGGTGGCTATAAATTTATTTGTTCAAACTGTAAAAAAAAATATCCTCAAATAAATCCAGTAGCTATAACCTCAAAAATCGCCCAAAGCTAATTGTCATTTTAAACTCTAATAGTGTTTTTATTTTGTAATATGTTCACGCCAACAGTTTTAAAGAGATAGAAAAAATCTTAATAATTTTGGGGAGATACATCCAAAAAGACCAATTCAATTCAAGCTATATTAATTAATAATATAGCATAAGCCAATATTTCTCAGAAACTGGCTAATAAAGTTATTGTGGATTTTATAATTACAGTTCAGCCAATGTCATTGGTTGATAATCCATTATTTACCATGATTGATTAAAACTATATCCCCTGGTACAACAATTTTTTGTCGCCAGATACTAAGGATTGAGATAGCAAAGATGCCCTCGTTAGAAACATAAAAACGACTTCCATAGATAATTTTTTTGAAATAAAGGATATTAATATAATAAAAAATCACCTAGAGGCGTTTTTTAAATCTAAAAATACAAATGAGTATTTTTGATAATTTTTCTTATATTAAAAATATATATGGGGAATTCCATATCAAATCAACAAAAAAGTAGATTTTCAACCCGACCCCCTTCAATTTTTCTTAAATTTTGTATATTGGTAGTATATACTATAACTAAGAAAAAAATAAAATTTTACCTTCCAACACTGTTTACCCGCTAAGATATGGCCGTTTAAAGCGCGGAAAAATGGTACATTTTTGACAAAATGCACTTCATTTTATTTTCAAATATCTCGAGAAATAATTATGTTAGAAAAACAATTTAAATTTTATATTGTAGCTTAATAAAAGTTCTTTAAAATGACATAAAAACAAATATGATGACATTTTATTAATATCGAAAACCGGATGTGTAAAACCGGAAATAAAAAAAGTATTTTTTTTAAAAACTTTTTTTCTGTAGATAGATATCATACTGCTTTATATTTGTACAAAATCCTAGACTGGGATGAACATGGGTTTAGGAGTTATCACTCTTTATATGGCTAAAATTGAACAAATTTAACATTAATATCAAATAGTTATGAAATAATGTTAATTTAAAAATTATGTCTAAATGATAGGCCCTTACTTTTTTTTTATCTTTATAAAAAAATTTTGAGAGGTGGCTGGGATAATGAGCTGTTTAAAACTTTAGTTAAATTTTATCTCGAAATTAAAATTACTTGACAAAATAATATTTTATTTAGCATAAAATAATCTAGCAAGAAATTCAACAATAAATTTTCCCCCATATATTCAAAATTAAAAGAAAGGCTTAATATATTATTTGAGGAGAATTCTATAGATTATAAAACATTCAAACAATGGATAGCAGTTGATCGAACTACCCTTGAAACACTGATAAAATCCGCTGACGAATTTGTAGATTATTTAATTGAATAATTAAACAATTTAATTCCTCATTTGTTTAAAGCTTCACGATAATCATTAATTGGAAACTTTTTAAAATTCAATTTAAATGTTGGCGAATTCTTAGTTATTGCAGACTTTTCAGAAAACTATGCATTTGTAGTGCAGAACCATGCACAAGGATGTAATCAGACCAATAATCAAGCCACTATCAACTCTTTTATAATTTATTACCGTAAGAACAACATAATAAAACATGTAAATTTAGTGGTTATATCAGATTGTTTAAAGCACACGCATGTGCATTTTATTTATTTTAAAAATTAATCGTAGTCTTGAAGGAAAGATTTAATAGAGTGGCTAAAATTTATTATTTTTCTGATGGAGCAAACCAATATAAAAATAAAGATTTCATTAATCTCTACAATCATGAAAATGATTTTGGGATAAAGGCTAAGTGACATTTTTTAAAACCGCACAAGGTAAAAGTCCATGCGACTTGGGGGCCGTTACTACACGGTTAGTAGCTCGAGCAAGCTTGCAACGTCCATATGAACATCACATATTGACAACAATAGATTTATTTAACTATGCAAGAAATAATATCTATGGAGTAAATTATATATTTGTGTGCAATAATGAATAAATGAACATAGAAAGTCATCTTGAAAGCAGGTTTTTGAGAGCAAAGAGAATTTCTGGAACACAACGTTCCAAGCTTTTATCCCCCTAGACGAAAACAAAAGTCATAATTTATTAAAATTCCTTGGATGATTATAATATATGATATATTTTAATTATAAATTTTTGATTGTATTATATGTAATGCAATTTGAGGCAAATAAAGTTATAAATATGTTTAGAATTATTTTGTCAAGTAACTTCGAGACAAAATTTAACTAAAGTGTTAAAGAAAGCTCATTATTCCAGCCACTTCTCAAAAATTTTGATAAAGATAAAAAAGTTAAGGACCCGTCATTTAGACATAATTTTTAAACTAACATTATTTCATAACTATTCCTTAAAAATTAAAATATGATATTAATGTAAAATTTGTTCAATTTTAGCCATATAAAGAGTGATAACTCCTAAACCCATGTTCATCCCAGTCTAGGATTTTGAAAAAATATAAAGTAGTGTGATATGTATCTGCAGAAAAAAAATTTTGAAAAAAAATACCTTTATTTTCTATGGCCATTTCCGGTTTTACACATCCGTTTTTCGATATTAATAAATTTCCATCATATTTATTTTTATGTCATTTTAAAGAACTTTTATTAAGCTACAAAATAAAATTTAAATTATTTTTTTAATATGATAATTTCTCGAGATATTTGAAAATAAATGAAGTGCATTTTGTAAAAAATGACCATTTTTCCGCGCTTTAAACGGCCATATCTTAGCGGGTAAACAGTGTTGGAAGGTAAAATTTCATTTTTTTCTTAGTTATAGCATATTCTACCAGTATACAAAATTTAAGAAAAAATGAAGGGGGTCGGGTTGAAACCTTGGTTGATTTGATATGGAATTCACCAAGTATATAATTAAATACTGTCTTGCCCTCAAGTGCTAGTGTTGAGAGATTATTTAGTAAGGTGAAATTTATAGTTTCTGATCGTCGCTCTAGACTTGATAATGATATTATAAAAATGATTATTATTAAAATGCAACATAAATAAAAAATGAATATTACCATAAATAGTTATTTTTATTACATAAATTATAGTCTTTTTGCATAAATTTTTTTATAATCTAAACTAACTAAATTTAGATATTTATAAATGATGATTATTATGTATTATATACTATACAATTACATTATAAGCAAAAAATATACAAATTTATTTTTAAATTTTTTAAAAGTAACCAAAGCTACTTTTAAAAGTAGGGTTTAACAACTCTGCTGCCCTGTATCTCGGGAACCAGGTGTGCTAGCGAGATAAAATAAACGGCTTTCTCATGTTTTTACCTATCTAAATAATTCCAGAAATAGAGGCCTAATGAAAATTGTTGTAGCTGTTGAAAAAAAGAAGAAATAAATTTAATATAATACATCAAATGTCAGTTATTTTCTGACAGGAAAATTAAGTTTTCCTTGGGGGAAGAAGAGGAGATAGGGATCACGGGGTGTGTTTCATTGTTCGGAAAAACCCGTAGTTGGAGATTAAGAGATATTGGATTAGATGTCAGCTGTGGACCTTTGGATGTTAGCTGTGGACCTTTGGATGTTAGCTGTGGACCTTTGGATGTTAGCTGTGGACCTTTGAGAAATGAAGAATTGGATAATTATATTATGTTATATTTTTCTACATATTTTATGTTAGATTGTTGTGGTTTTATTGGAAATAAAGATAATTATGTTAAATATGGATCGTCGTTAATGGTCAATGGTATTTATTTAATATTATTAGAAAGAATTATTTTGGGTTGTTAAGTTATATAATTGAGAGTAAAGGGCATTTTTGTTATATTTAAGGTAACTTGTAATATTGTTGCCAGCTGACCAGGATCGAAAGAGTGGGTTGATTCGGTTTTAAAGTAAAACAAAATTTTTGTTGTATACATATTACATAAGAGAAATTTTGACAAGGCAATGTACTAAAAACTATACAGATACATGAGTTTAAGGATTTCTATACTTTTATATTTAACTTAAAAGGTGTAAGATAGAAAGTATGTATGAGTATTAGGCAGAAATATGGAAATAAGATCAGGAATTTAAGACAGTAATATTTGGTATATTATCTTATGTCTAGATGTATATGGTACATATAATTTTGATCATTATTTGGTATGCCTTAAAACTCATTGAATGGTGTTATAGGTATTCCGTCATAGGAAGCTGAAAGACCTCATGAACAGCAGGACAGAAAGGATTGTTAAATATTTAAATATGTGAAATTTATGAAAATATATATGGATATAGACTTTTGTAATAAGGTGTGTATTATTTAATTATGCATTTTGGATTTGTAAAGGGATGAATATGTATGGGATAATTTATTATTAATTAAGGTTAATATATTGCATAGGTAACATATGATATATTTAACTATGAATTATTATTTATAATGTTAATATATTGTATAGGTAACATATGATATATTTAATTATGAATGAGAATTTGAAGGAATTGAAGTATGATGAAGTCAGAATAATATCTATAATGTTAGATGTGGATAGTTATTTTGATTTAGTGTCTGCATTTAGTGTATATATAAATTGGATAGGAATTTGTATGATACATTAGATGGTGTATAATATTTTTTTTTCCAAATTATGAAATCTTTATATTTAATATATATTTTTTTTTTTTAAATTATAAATTTTTATAAGAATTTTATTTGCAATTATTATATTATTTGTGTGGTATGCAATGATGTGAAGGGAAAATATTTTTACAGATAAGGTCAGCCCGTGTTGATGGGTATGCCTTGAAGTGAGAATATTGTTTAGTTTGCATACTGGAGAAAGTTTTTTTTTTGGTGTAAATTTTTTTTGTTATGCTGCATAATACATTTTTTTTATTTTTGTAATAATTTTATAGCACATCACATTTTACTATTTAATTATGAACATATTTTTTAAAGAAAAGACTCAAATTATTTTATATTGTGAAGGTATATTAAAAATTCTTTACATATATACCATATAGCCCATTATATTCTCAATTGTTGTTATTTTGCATTCTACATTTTTGTGAATTTGTGCTAACTGTGATGACAGAGTTAGGTAGAAATGGTATATTTTTCTTAGGATACTGAGTAATTCCTAGATGGGAAATATTGTATTTTCTACGTATTATATTTGTTCCTTCATATAAAATATTAAATATATTTGTATATGGATATATTGTAATTTTAGGTAGAATCTTTGTTTGGCAGAGTTTCGCAATTATTTGTAATACCTAAGGATGGATTTTTCTATTCATTTTAAGAAATATTTACATAAATGTAGCTTTGTTTTTTTTACATGACAGAAGGAAAATTACATGTGTTGAAATTGCATTTCACACACAGACAATATGTTCACATTACATTATTATATGTAATATCATTATTTCTTAATTACCATGAATCATATCCAAATAATGTGTATTATAGCTCATATTTCCCAAATGTCTTAAAATGAATGAATTATTATGTTTTGCTGATATTACATTGTCCATATTAATGTTGCATAGATTATAAATGCAGATACCCCAATGTACAGGTCATTATTGATAATATGTGTTTTTGCGATTATATATTGAAAGGTATCGGCGATATTATATTATAAATCATCATAAGGGAAGACGATTCGACAAATTCCCTGAACGTCTTCAAGGCGTCTCGATACAATTCAAAAAGGTGATTCGATACAATTCAAAGAGGTGATTCGATACAATTCAAAGGGGTGATTCGATACAATTCAAAGAGGTGATTTGATACAACAACACCACAGAGAGAGGGACGCTGGGCTTGTGAAGGGTGGGCGTGTTGTAGCTGTTGAAAAAAAGAAGAAATAAATTTAATATAATAAATCAAATGTCAGTTATTTTCTGACAGCAAAATTAAGTTTTCCTTGGGGGAAGAAGAGGAGATAAGGATCACGGGGTGTGTTTCATTGTTCGGAAAAACCCGTAGTTGGAGATTGGGAGATATTGGATTAGATGTCAGCTGTGGACCTTTGGATGTCAGCTGTGGACCTTTGAGAAATGAAGAATTAGATAATTATATTATGTTATATTTTTCTACATATTTTATGTTAGATTGTTGTGGTTTTATTGGAAATAAAGATAATTATGTTAAATATGGATCGTCGTTAATGGTCAATGGTATTTATTTAATATTATTAGAAAGAATTATTTTGGGTTGTTAAGTTATATAATTGAGAGTAAAGGGCATTTTTATTATATTTAAGGTAACTTGTAATAAAAATAAAACTTCTTTGATAGATTTGACATGGAATGGCCCTTAAAGATTTTATCTCTTCATGGCATGATTAAGATATGTCTGTTAGATAGAATATATTTTTTATATAAAATAGTTCTGATTGATTTATACCCTATATCTCTCTGACCGGTTATCCAAAAGCCAGAAAAAGGATTATCCCATAGCATTAATTGTTATTATAAATTTTAAAAAAGGTAAATTTATGGCAATATATGACCTCTATTAGTAGCCAATACTGAAATTATTTTTTGCTGATCAAAAAATAGTGACCATTTTTTTAATATTAATATTCTATTATTACTAATACTGAGAATTTAATAGAAGTAATCATTATTCGCCATGTGCAATTAATTGTTCTAATAATATTTTTAATATTTTTATATCATATTCTTATTATAGTAAATAATCTACAACATGTATTTATGCATATATTAATTTTTATTAATAAGGAAATATTTAAAAACAGTAAATTAGATGTATTATATTATACCATATTAAACCATAAATATTGTTCAAATCCAACCCCAAATAATTTCTTTAATTTTTGTAAATATAAATTTGCATAAATATGTGTTGAGGACTTCTATACCCCCCAAAGCCAATGATAATTTACCACCTACCAAAGTAAAAAAAGGAAATTCAAATCAAAATTCAATAAAATGATATTAAAATTAGCAAAAAAAGATATTCAAATCATAATTAGGAGAAAAAAGAAATTCAAAATCTAAATTTGCAAGAAAAGAAAATTCAAATAAAATATGCAAAAAAAAGAAAATACAATTCAAAATTACCCTAGATCCCCTCAAATCTTTTTCAAATTATAAAGGCGCCTTTATAACTCTTTATCTTCTTCAACTTCAATGATTATCTTGCGCCACCCTCCCCCCCCCTCCCCTTACCTCGAGGTAGAAGTCCTTGGTTATAGATTCCTTATATTATATTAAATATTAAAACAATAAATTATATGCTATCTATTGAATTAAAAAATATCCCGTTTTTTAGTTATTTTATCGATTTTCCCCTGAAAGGGTCTCATTCCATATCAAATCACGCGCTTTATAATCACATCTCAATTCCGATAAATATTTATACAAAGATTATAAATGTTATAATTAGGGATGTACCGATATTTTATATCGAATCGGATCGGGCCGATATTTCGCTCATTTTAAAATATCGGTTATCGGCAAATATTATAAAATTTTCCGATCCGATATAAAATGGCGCTTTTAACAAAATTTAAAAAAGGTTATATCTAAAAAACCATTTATTTTTATAAATAAAATCGAAATACATTTTTATGTTTAATTTTTTTAATAGAAATAATTAGTTAATAAACATTCTGCAATATAGTTATTTTTTTCGCATCTGTTTAAAAAAGTGTTCATTAATCTCTTCAGTATCTGTTTTTAGTGATGCTAGTGATATTAACAGTCCCCATCACCGCCGACATATCTCTGATATAAAAAGAAATCTTCGATATATTAATTTTAAATATTAATTTCAAATTTCATAATATATTTTTTTATTACTAATTATGTAAATAGATTAATGTTATTACTTATTATATAAATAATAGCAATTGAATTGAATATAAACTATAACTGACCATTATAATATATTTAAATGACATATGTTATGGTATAGTAAAATTATAGATGTTGTACTAATAAAAAGTATATAAAAATTAAACCCGGTATCTTTGCAGAATACAAAATTAGATGATATCGGATCGGTTATCGGCCGATATCAATTTAATATCTGAAATATCGGATCGGATCGGCCTCCAAAAAGTGGTATCGGTACACCCCTAGTTATAATTAGATCAAAAACGAAATTTGAACTCCCTAGCTTTTATATTAGCCCAGATATTAAGGGTTAAAGATGCAATAAACGCGATTTTGACTTTTTCGAATTAATAATTAGTTATTAATTCAAATTAAATCAATTTAGGTATTAAATTAACTGTTTACCTAATATTTTTATCAATAAACATGTTAAACGAATATCTAGATAAATTAACAAAAATGAATGTGTCTAAAAAATTAAGGATGGCAGTATTAATATTTAAATGCATCAACAGCAAAAGTTAGTTATATAATATAAGGCACAATAATTAATTTATGGGTAATATCAGGTAGATTAATAAAGAAAATATATTTTTTATCAATCAATATGACATTGCTCATAAAATTATTATGAATATAAATGTTATAAACATGAAAAAACAAATCACTGCATTAAAACTTCTTATTTTTTAGAAAAAAGATTTATTCGAATCAAATACAAATAGTAAATTTTATTATTAGTACAAAAAAAGAATAGTAAATTACAAATAATGCAATGGCCAAGTCATTAGTAAAAATTGACTTTAAATTATATTTGGATCCATATTCCATCCTTAATTGGTTAATCTTTTATTGTTTATATCAATTTTTTTCTGAAATATTTATAAAATTCATCCAAAATTCAAAATAGTGAAATTTTAAGCTAAACTACAAAACCATCAAAAATAAAAATCCAAACCTGGACAAAAAAATTTCAGAAAAATCCCAGGCCAATCTAAATCCCAGTTTTAAAATGAAACTTTTTCAATCTATGCCAGCTATGCTTGAAAATGAATTTTTTTTTCGCAAATCTGGAGCAGGTGTAAGATTTTTTCTTGTACAAGTCACTGATAGATATATATATATATAAGGTTAATATTCATAGGGTTATTCAGTGTATGGACCTTTGATAATCTAATATCTGTAAAGCTTGATAATAAAATTGAAATATATAAAAGTATGTAATTAGGTGCAAAACCAAGGGGGAATGGGTGAATCCCACATTGCAAATTTGCCTATTCTCATAAATATCATTTTAAGTTATTAAAAATTTCCCATTACAACCTCCCCCTCCTCCCCCAAAAATGTATACAATATATCACTATAAAAATTTTGAAAGAAAAATTAGTAAAAGTTACTAATTTTTTAAAATAATAACTATAATTCCAAATTTTTAGAAAAAGGCATTTTAAAAAAAAATAAGTGAATAAAAATTAAATATGGCCAAAGGCCTAAAATAAGTGGACTTAAGTACTTCCAATACAATTTATGGCAGAACCCACCTATTAGTGTTTCACCCCCCATTGGGAAATTCTGGATACTCCTATGTAATACAATTAAAATAAAAGAAAAATAGAATTAAGAAATTAAAAACAATGAATAAATAGAAGAAATTGATATAAAATACAATGAAAAAGTTAAAGAATATTAATCAGATATGCAGTGATACTAATATCTTGATATTAGTTAATGTTGCTAAATGGCTCAATTTTAAAAAATGGCAAACCTACTTAACCAAAATATTAAACAAACCCTGAAGATTTTACTCATTCATCACAGAAGGATTTGGATATCTATTAACAAAATCACGAGGTTTGAGTAATATTATTTTGGCTAAAAAATTTTGTAGAAATGGAGACTAGAAAAATAATATTTTTTTAAATGAACTTAATTTTTAAAAATTTGGCATTGTGTATCAGCCATACTTTATTGGTATTGGCAAAGAAGTGGTATTAATGATAAAGGTTGGTGCAGCCTTGTTTAAACATGTCTATATTAACTTTCTAGCATGTTTATTAACATAACTTAGCCAGTATATTTTTACCCAGCCCATCTTATGAAATATAATTAATAAAAGTTGTCCAACCTAGCCCATAATTTTTATGAGGGAAAATAACATATATTTGCATAATTATCACCACTAAAACATTTTCATAACTTTGGTCTCATGGTGCAGCTTGTAAAACTATTTCTTAAAAATTATGGGCCTGTTCAAAAACCTTTTTTCCCAGCTTTAGCATAAGAAAAAAACAATTAGAGGAAGTTTTTTAAAAAAAGGGAATTTTTTTTACCTTCTTTTTTTTAAAAAAAGTGATAGTCAGTCTCCTTTATTCCAGCAAAGAATAGAAAGGAAAGAATATCCTGGATTAGATAATCCTGAATTTGGAATTGTCCTGGATTAAAGAAAATGATTAAGATTTAAAATCCCAAAGATATTTGAATTTTATTAAGTTTATTATTTGTGAATGTTGAATAAGTCATTTTTATATTTTAACAATAAGTCCATGTTTGATAATAATTGGTTGCATGAAGATATATGATATTGGCAAATATTTCCCAATATTATAACTTAGTAATATATTATTTTAGTCATCATATTATATCATAATTTGACAAATAATTATATTTGTTAGATCCAATAAATTGAATTGATCTTTAAGAATTTCCAGAACTTTCTTTCTCAGTTTGTTGAAATAAAAGAAATATCATGATTTGAATATAATTTTATAGAAAAAAAAATAGAATATTAATTCTTTCTATGGTATATTTTAAAGCATCATTTTATTTGTACAATGTTCAGATTGCTTTTATGAAATGAAATGTGAAAATATAAGAAAAATAAAAAATACTGGATATGCCAAATATTATAATATAGTGATTTATGTCTTAGGATGTAAGCAAATTAATAGAATTGGAAAAACAAATATTCCATGTTAAGGTTTTTAAAAAAATCTTGGGTTTGTATAATATAAAATGAAATATAGATGATCTATGGGTATTTTATAGAATATTCTTTGTAATTTTTTTAAAGGAAATTAATATTTAAATATATTTAAATTTGTTAGTTTTTATTTTTTATATAAAAATGAATTTTATCTGATTTTGGATGTCTGTTTTTATCTTCTTAGGATATTCTTTGGATTCTGGTAAAATATTAAAATATTTCGTGGTTATAATATATATAGTTAAAATTAAATTGATCTTAGATCTTGCTATGCAATAAAAAAAATTATATGGGGAATGGGGAGTTTTTATATAAACTAGACGTTTTTTGTTGGAAATATGATATTTTTATTAGAAGTATATAAATGAACATTTTTAAAATATATTTAATTAATTAATTATTGCTACGTTAAATAAATTAATATATTTTACATTAAATAAATTTTTATATTGTTATATTATATTTATTTTATTAAAGTATTACTTAACCAATTCATTAAGTTATATCTAATGCTGTAAAGTAATGTCAAAAAAGTAATGTCGTTACCTTTTTTGAATAAAAGGATAGCCATTCATTACCTTCTTCTAGCGGTAACGAGTAATGGTAATGCGTTTCATTTTTTGAGCAACGGTAACGCAAAGCGTTATTCGTTACTTTAAATTTTTCTTAAGAAATATTATAAAAAGAAAAAAATATTTTATTGTACTAAAAAATTACTTTTATTTATTTTTTAATATAAATAATTTATATCAACCACCATTCCTTCATTTTTATTTTGTTAAATTTTCAGTTGAATGTTATTCTAATTAATATTCAATATTTTAAGAATATTATGTACTTACTTCTTCAGATGAAGATAATTTACCCTTCTGTGGCCCTAATTTTAAACATATTTTACGCCAATAAGGAAAATTTAGGGTACAAAGTCTACACTTTGTAATTGTGAATTATGTTCCAACGCAAATATTTCAAAATGTTCAGCAGTTCAAACTTAAAAAAGCATATGAAGGTAGTTGTGTTTATATAAAAGAAATATCTTTCTTTTTGCCCACTCAAAACAGTATTTTATTTTATTTTATCTTACCCTAATCGTAATTTATAGACAAAGCCTGTTTTATATTTTATTCACTTAAAACTGGTCCTAACCAGTTTCGAGATTGGCCATTACATGGAAATAAATATTATAACAATACGTCGATAGATTTATTATGGTTAATTTGTTGAAATAATATATAAGGACCCCCTAAAAATAATTATAACCATTAAAGAATTCATGTTTTGATATTTTTTTTGTGATAATCGTGTTTAATAAAATAAATTTACGATATTTTTTTTGCGTAAAATCCCGCTTATGATGACATAAATGCCTGCTAAGTCCGGTCCCCCACTCCCATTCTCCGACAATCCCAGACCCACGAACTCCTTCGATCCCTCTCCCTTCCCGATGGTTAGACTCGACAGTCCAAACATTTCAAAGGTAGAAAGATGAATTAATATATTATTATTTTAAACATTACTTTAACAATAGAATATTATATCATGGGTATTATAAAATAACCATTAAAAGAAGTATTCTTTCTGTTGCATGTTCGCTTAATTTGTTGTAATTCATTGTATATTTAAATACTTCTTAAATATTTTGCTTATTCAATTTGTTGTAATTGTTTATTATATTCCAAAAAAAGGAAATAATGACAATAATTCCCCCTTCTTAATTGTAATTGTTTATTATATTCCAAGATAAGGAAATAATGACAATAATTCCCCTTTACAATTGTAATTGTTTATTATATTCCAATATTAGGAAATAATGAAAATAATTCCCCCTTCCCAATTGTAGTTCCTACTATCCCCATATATATATATATTATTTTTTATATAATTCTTTGTTAATCTTAATGTAAGTATTGGGTATTATTTTAATAATGAAACCATTATTGTAACCAGAGACCTGCAGAGGTATTATTTGCACGGCCCGGCCCGGCCCGGATATTTAAAAAAAAAATTTTTTACGGCCCGGCCCGTATTTAAAAATTTAAGGCCCGGCCCGGGTTTTTTTAAAAAAAAAATTTCAAGCCCGACTCGGAATTTTTAAAATTATATTCGACCTGGTATATACAAAAATTCACCTATGAGGTATTTTACCATATTTATCAGCGAGTATTATCGCTTATTATTTAAAAAATACATGTAAAAAGCTAATATTTTGAGAATATTATATTGAATTTATAAAAATTATAAAACTGTTATTTATAAAAATGGATATTTTGAGCATATATTATATTTTATATTGCATTTATAAAAATAAAACTAATATTCATAAAAATGGTAATAATATTTGTCATATACTATATTTTATATTACATTTTAAAAAAATAAAACTAATATTTAATTTATAAAAATGGAAAATATTTTGAGAATATAATATATTGTATATAATTTACTATTTAATTTATAAAATAAAAATAAATCGCTATTTAAAAAAATGCATGTATAATAAATAGTATTTTAAAAATATAATCTAATTGCACAATATTAATATAATTTTTTTTATTTTTTTTTTTATTTTTTTTTTTTATAATTAAAGGTTAAAAAAAAATAAAAAATAAAATTTATTTTATAATATAAATTTTTAACAAAAGAAGATAATTGTATTATATAATATTGTAAAAAAAAATAATGAAAAATGTTGGATTAAAAACTTTCATGACTCAAGGTAAATATAATAAATGCAATAAATATTTGACAGTTTGCAAAGTAAAAAACCAGCATGATTGACGAAACCCTATACTCAAGAAAGATATTAAAAATTCACAAATTATCATGAAGAAAGAGAAGCATATCTACCTTTTCAGGTTGAAGATTACTTCTTCTTTCTTCAAGAATTCTCCCAGTAGTGGAAAAATTCCGCTCACAGCTTGCACTTAAAGCAGGAATTGCCAATTTTGCTAAAATTGGAAATTCGCTTTGATGAGCCGCCCACCACTCTAACAAATTATCCACTTTAAATTTTTTATCTATTATTTATGTAATTATAATATTCATCATCGGGTATTGACATATTACCAGAATTACCATCGCCCCATTTGTCATAAAACGATTCAGTTTGTTTAACAACAGTCGTAATTTGACTCGTCGATGGTATTTCATTTACTTCCTGAGCCTCTTGTAATTTAATATAATCTTTTATATAGTTTACCGTCATTTTGCGATTTGTCCCTGACTACATACGTAATTCCTTGAATTTGGGACAGAGAAAAAGAGAAATAAAATGATACTTGTGTAAAACCATTTTTTCAATTAAAAAATGCTTTATATTAAGTAAAATCAATTTTATTTCTCCTTTTCGCTTTGAAAGGTGTTACAAACTTTAAGAAGTGATATTCCTTTATTTGATTGTTTTGGTAAAATATATTCTAAAAATTTAGATATGAATTATAAAAAAATATATTAATAATACTTGAATATTGGGGCTTATTTAAGATATTCCTTTATTTGATTGTTTTGGTAAAATATGTTGTAAAAATTTAGATATGAATTATAAAAAAATATATTAATACTTTGAATAAATTTGCTGGAAATTAATAATTAGATCTATCTGTGGGTTGTTAGGTAGTGTTAACCATCACCCAATATTATATTAATCATAACTATAATATAATATAATCTTATAACCATTAACTCATAATGTAAAAATTTTTATAAAAAATATTAAGGCCCGGCCCGGGTTTAACAATCTTAGGCCTGGCCCGGCCCGGATATATTTTAAAAAAAAATTTTTAGGCCCGGCCCGAATATGTTTAAAAAAAATTTTTTTAGGCCCGGCCCGGGTATATTTAAAAAATTTAAAATGGGCTTAGGGCCGGGCCGGGTTTAGGGCCGGGCCTGCAGGTCTCTGATTGTAACATTAAATATTAACCCTATTACTCATTTAACATTATAAGAGTTACATCCCGTATGCCAAACGAGTTCTTTCCTTCCCCATTTTTTGTACCATGTTGTGTTTTCAATACTTAAATTTTTTTATATATTTTTTTTTGGAGGTGGTGCATGTTGCATGTTCGCTTAATTTGTTGTAATTCATTGTATATTTAAATACTTCTTAAATATTTCGCTTAATCAATTTGTTGTAATTGTATATTTAAATATGTTCATATATTATCTTTTTATTAAATGAAATTAACATGTATATAAATACATCTCAAGGCGCTAAACATATATATATTGATATATATTTTTATTTTCTAATACCACTTGTTTTCTTTTGTATAACCATATTATTAAATAAAAAGATCACTTGTTTTCTTTTGTATAACCATATTATTAAATAAAAAGACCACTTGTTTTCTTTTGTATAACTATATTATAAAATAAAAAGACCACATCAACGTCAATATTCTAATAATATAATCAATAAAGACTATCATATCATTCCTCCTTAATTATGAAATACAATCACACACAATTTATTCTAAAGTATTTATTCTTGTTCAATACTTTCATAATATTTTCAAAAGCTTAATCATGAAATTAAAATATAAGCAATTAAACACCCGCTATATATATATTGGATTGGCCCTGGATAAAATTAGAGGTCAACAAAGAAAGAATGCTGGAACTTATTTCCAGTTTAAGAAAAGATCTTAATAAAGAAAGAGCAGACTTAATTCAGTTATCCAACACACATACAGGTTTGCCATGTCTTCCCCCATCAGCGGGATACTCCAGCAATTTTTTAGTTTACACGCAGACATCTCTATCCCGGAAAACTACCGCAATTGGAAATCTCCCGCAAAAATCTAAAAGTATTTTAACGTTTTTAATATATATGAGAGACATTAATTGATTA